CCTGCTGCAAGAAGTAAGTGAACCCCACTTGGGGTTGTTTCAAGAGTCGGGCAGATCACAAAATTCCCAGAAGAGAACATATTCTTGTGCTCTTTCAGAACAAAGCAACATCATCCGCGGGGAAGGAGAAACCAAAACCAGCAGGAACCGAACCAAGCAAGCCCCAAACCCAACCCTTTCAGCTCAGATGGGAACATGCTGCCACCTGCGGATGAAAGCAAGCAAAGCCACCTTGAACTTCAAACACTGCACCGCCACCCGTCCCTTCCTTACAGACTAAGCCAAACATCTTCAACGCTTTGTTTCCGGGAGATTTCGAGTCTGAGATGGGGTTTTTCCCCCCCCCCCTTTCATAGCAGTGGTCTGCACTGGTCGTTCCTAAACAAAGATCAGTGCTGGGTGTGTGAAAATTTCATGTATTGTATGTGAACAGCCCCGGATTTCTACTGGGTACCTGATGAAGAGTTGGCAGATGGCTCTTGCCGTGTCTTAATAAAAGGGGCTCTTTTATTAAACTCCAGGTAATCCTGGAGTTACTACAAACTAAGAGCCCCAAGAGAGAGAGCTCCCTCTGCTCGCTCTTTTAGGATGGCTGGATACAAGTTATTTGGAAGAAAATGCACAAGAAGAAACGAGCAGGAAATGTGAGCGTAATACAACCAGCAGCTGCTAAAACTGAAAAGATTTGTCTTAAGATTTCTAAAGGTTTGGGCCATGTTAGGATCCCTAAAAACCGGGGGCTGAGGGACTGGAGACCTCACCAGAACAGGATGACGGTGTTAATGGTAAACTCACAGGCATTTGGGAGGTTACGACTTCCCTAGTAAATGTAGAATAAAGGCTTCTAATTCTGCATTTCACACACAGCTTCGACTGCCCCTACTTGGAAGTGACAGAAATTATGGTTTAAAGAGAAAATAACTAGATTTTTAAATGCTGTAGGTGTCACATCTACTTAATTATCTCTGGAGAAGAAAGCTGTTATTACTGAGAGCCCAACTGTGGTACATAACAAGTAAGTTCACGATCCACATTTCCAGTTGCTTCATTCTATTGAAAATAAAGAGTCTCTCTGAGCTAGTCAAAGGAAAAAACAGAGCTTTAGGCTTTGTTCTAAGTGGAGCAGTTCAAGTTGCTATCAAAACTCCTCCCTTTCTACCATAATGTGACGTTTTGTGATCAGATGGCTCTATGTGGCACATGAGAACAGTGTGTTAACAACAGAGAGCGATCAGTAGTGCAGAGTCATTTAAAATGAGCTCTTTTGACACAGGCTGCCTCCTCCTTTCTATACCTTCATGTATCTGATCACATCTGTCATTACTGGAACACACCCCGCTCTGTGTCATTGATTTCCATGCATAAACAGACGTGGCACCAGAGGATTTTACCACTATTTGTTAGGCAGAAAACACACGCTGAACTCCTCAAGTCCCAAATCACAGAATCACAGAACGTTAGGGATTGGAAGGGACCTCAAAAGCTCACCCCGTCCAACCCCCCTGCCGGAGCAGGAACACCCAGATGAGGTTACACAGGAAGGCGTCCAGGCGGGGTTTGAATGTCTGCAGAGAAGGAGACTCCACAACCTCTCTGGGCAGCCTGGGCCAGTGCTCTGGCACCCTCACTGAGAAGAAGTTTCTTCTCCAATTGAAGTGGAACCTCCTGTGTTCCAGTTTGTGTCCGTTACCCCTTGTCCTATCATTGTTTGTCACCGAGAAGAGCCTGGCTCCATCCTCGTGACACTCACCCTTTAAATATTTCTAAACATGAATGAGGTCTCCCCTCAGTCTCCTCTTCTGCAAACTAAAGAGCCCCAGCTCCCTCAGCCGCTCCTCAGAAGGGAGATGCTCCACTCCCTTGATCATCTTTGTAGCCCTACGCTGGACTCTCTCCAGCAGTTCCTGTCCTTCTTGAACTGAGGGGCCCAGAACTGGACACAATATTCCAGATGCGGTCTCACCAGGTCTCACCACTCCACATCTGCGTTTTCCTCCCAGTTGTAAACTACCCCTGCTCAGGACTTGTGCTCACATCTCCTCCCTGTTTGCTTCCTCCTCCTGTTCCACTGGCAGCTTCTGGTCAGGTTCACCAATAAAAGGCAGATGATCAATGAATTGGAAAAAGGCAACAAAGTTTCACCTGGAAGCCGTTCTGTTGGGTTTTTTTGGCTGCCCTTTACTCAGCACAATGTTAGATGCCATTTTAGACACAGTCAGGCGATTTTTGGTCTCTTCTGTACTTGTTGCGTACCTGGTGCCATGTTCCAATGCATCCACCATAAACCACAGGATCTCACCCCTGAACTCACTCGCTACTCTTCTTAGCCTCATGTTAATATAAACCACTTTCCTGACATCTGGATATACCTAATATTTCATTACCACCTTAAAAGACTGCTCTACCTGAAGGCTGCTTATACATAGAGGTACTTAAGAAGAATTCAAATCAGCTAGCATGGAAACAAATGCAAACAAACACCTACCTTCATCCACGGTAAACTGACAGCCCTTGTCATTGTAGAAAAGAATCTTCTTCTTATCAGGGCGATTAACAAAGATGATCTGGTCCCCTAAAGCCTCGAAAACAAATGCAAAAGGACAACTCAAAATCACTTTGTTTCCAGGAATAAGGATTCCAAATTCAACAACAGACCCAGACGGAGCAGCAGCAAAGAAAGTGGCAATGAAAAGTACCCGAAGCAGGCAGGCATTTCGGTTTGCTGAACCACACAGACGCGCTACTCACCTTTATAGCTTTCTGTGCGTTGGGGAGCCCTTCCTCGATGTCTTCTAAAAGGATTCCCCCCAGCCCTCGCTGGTCGTGCTTGTCCAAGAGCCTGAGCAGAGCCTTTTTATCCTTCAAGTTGTACTTGGGTTTGAAAGCGTACTTCCCATCCACAACTTCTATTTTCGGATTGTTGACCAGAGCCTGTAATAGGGACATCGATTTTAAACTCGGGGAAAATAAGCCCACAGAGGTCCTTTTTTTCTAGTGTGCTTTTGAGCAGCTGGAGCTCACATCAGCCACACGTTACAGCTGCCAGTTTGGAGGTCTGAGTTTGAAATCCTCGGATCCTAGACCCACCTGCACAGGCATAATTCACCACAACATAAAGCACAGAGCACCAAAGGGGGCTTTGCATCGTTGGGCTCAAAGGTCCGTGAGGCCTCTTACGGCAGAAAGTGGTGTGTGTTCCTTTTTGAGAAAGGAATGAAAAGAAGAAGAAGCGGGAAGGCAAAAAAGTGTGCTTTGCCTGAATATAAAGTGCAAACAGACAACTCTGCGTGTCAAGCTCATGTGGATGCTACGAATGTATTACCCAAGGATGAAGAAAACGGGAGCCAGTCTTCCCCAGCTGCTGTCAACTGGCACCAGCGGCTGCAGAAGAAATTGAGAAGAGCAGATCTCCTGCACAGCAGGATTTTACTCGTGATGCCAGCTTCAGAGCAAAGCTGGCCAGCAGCTCACGAACAACTGGAATTATTTAAGATATGCTCCGAACCAGTTTTGCTGTGCAGCCATCACCACAGTGGAAGTTCACCCGTAACAGAGGGCAGCTCTACTTAGTTTCACAGAATCACAGAATCCCAGACC